TGTGATTAGGTTGCCTAGCCTCAGTCAGATAATGATGATGGTGATAATGACGTGAGTCCGCGAAAGTGCCTGACATGAGTGAACGTAGGCCAGTCCGTGTCACGGCAAGAGAGAAGAAACGTAGTAGAACCTTTTAGTACTCTGACAGAAACGGAAAAACAGAGCATGTTTTGGCCCAGCTTGCGGCTTTGTTTAGAAACTTTTGGCGATGCAGAGGAATCGAAGCTTTCCACCGAAGTTGCTGCGGGTCGTGCCTTCCCTCTGCCTCAACAAAGAGCCGGCAAAGTGTAGAAACCACCCGAAAGCGCCAGAGGCGGAGGCACCCTTACCACAGCCCTGGCGATCCTGGGAGCTCCAGGCACCTCCGTCGTGGAGAGCTGCACAAGCTTCGTTGCATTTCCGAGGTTTTCGACATTCTTTTAAGGGGCCTGGAGTTTGCCGTGGTCATTTCTACATTACCACCATCCACTGGATCCGGCTCCGGCTACCACTAGCATTGTCATGATTCGTAAATCCTCCTGCTGGATACCCGTCATATTCACGCGGGCCAGTTTGGTGGTGGCAGGATCCGCTCGACGAGCCCGGAAAGGCCTATATTCTGAAGTGCCGTTCCCGGAAAGGTCTGAGGGGACTCCGAAGCTGGGGCTTCTGTGCCACGATTCTCGTGGTTGCACCAGAGGAGCGACAGTTGCCAAATGCTTCTCAAGGATATTTGGTTTGCTGCGGAAGCTGTGACAAAACTTTTGCAGGCAGTTGTGCTGGGATGATATCATCCTGTCACCTCTAGGGCTTGGGTCCAGCAACTACTGTCCCCAAGTCCTGCCCTTGATGTGGAGAGCTCACCTCCCTTTGGCTTGCAGATTGCAGGATTGGCATCTGGCAGGCAACGATCGGGCTCAACTACTGTAGCCGCGCATGTTTCGCGCTGAAAAAGGACGACCCTAGACCAAAGTTCAACATGCGGCGAAGTTGTACGACTTGTGGAAAACACATTGGAGCAATGCCTCCTTGGGAGGAGTCGGCTGTGTGGCTATATTCTCTGTCTCTTCGAATCTACTGTCTACTGTACTTGGGGATTTGGCCGAGTTGTCTCGCAGCGTGACGGGTCTTGTGACGACCGTAAGAGTCGAAACCCTAGAAATTAGGAAGGTTGAGAGCTCTGGGGATATGTGTGACTGTTTTGCACACCCGCACCGGAATTTGGTTGACCTCGAACCACATTTGCCTCGCCTGGAGAGTCGTTTGTGTGAGATGCCGAAACCGTGAAAAAATCCTGAGTCAAGAGTGTCAGACCAAGGTCCTCCGCCCATGGCCGCTGTTTGTCGCACTTAGGCCCGCTTAGCTCAGGGCCCTCGGATCTCGGCTTCTTCCGTGAAATTTTGAGCAAGTTCATGTGGAGGTTTGGGTTTAGGAGGGTTACGAGAGGGAGCGTCCCTCCCGGCTGAAGCAGTGTGCCGCCTGCAGGCTTTTGCGAATGCTTCCCGCCTTACCGGGGGAGGTTCTGCGAAAATGTGGAGCCTGGCAAGAAGGCCGTCGTAGTGGGATGCCGCACTGGGCTTGTTTGGCAAGACGCATGGAGTGTAGATCGAGATGTGGTTTCCTAGTCAACCTTCGAACTTTCGGGGCAGCGTCCGCAAATTCATGCACCGTACCTAGAATGTGTAACGTTCAGGCGCCAGTGCCACTCTAGCATACAGAGGCTCTGGGAGCCTAAACGTTAACTGACTATACTCATCATGGTTCTGAGAGTACCTCCGAGGAAGGACGTCTCAGGAGACTTCGGGTACACTGGCCACACTTGCACACAGGCTGTGGGCTGGGTGACGCGCGCCATGTGGACCTGGATGATGATTGGTGCTTGAAACGATGGGCAGCAGTGATGCACATGGGGCTGATGCGCGAGATTCAATGTAGCGGACCGTTTGGCATAGGTCCTGGAAAGCTCGCGCGAAAGCGATCTTGGGCACCAATTTTTGAAAAAGGCTTCGGTGCTTCCGCATCGACCCTTGGCTGCTTCATGTGCAGAGTGCTCTTGTCGCCAGCAAGATTTGCTACACTGTGGAGAGGTTGAAGTCAAGTGAGCCACAGAGACTTCGACCGCTGAACACGATGAACATTCTGAAACCCTACGGAGTGCAGAACGAATAGTCGTTCCTGAGGCTGCCACAGCCTGCTACATACACATCCAGTAGCAGTAGCAAGTTTAGAAGCTGAGGCGTCAACTCCTGCGGCTTATCGCGTGAATCCTCTGTCGGAGTCCTATCCCTCACCCCCATTGCCACGAACGGGAATGGCAGCATACCTAGAACCCGCGGTATGCTGTGATTCGTTTGCATCAAGCTTTTGGAAGGGGTGAGTGGGAGCCGTACCACAAATACTGTTTTGATTGAGAACCGGTGCCTATGAGCCTACTGATACCGAAGAAACAATCTGGTTGGTCTGCTGGCTCGTTTCTTTTCGTCTGCGGGTTGCCAGGGTCCGAAGTCTTCGTGATGGGAGGGCCTTTAGTTGTTGGTTGAAGTTGGGCTGGACTCCAGATTGTTGGTCCTATTGATGATTTTCACTTTGCCGGCTATGAAAATGTGAACCTCATCTAATGGCGAGTCCATATGTTCGCACAAACAAGCGTAAGTAGTCTTGCCAGGACGGCTCGCGAAAGTACCGAGCTGTGCTGCACTACCTGGTGGGCCAGAGGCCCAGGTGTTTGTTTTGTCGGTTCGCTTTGGGGCGGTTCCTGCGCTCTTGAACCTACGGATTGTTTCACGACTGGTGGTTCAGGCTTCGGGGTCGTGATGTGGCCTTGAAGCTAAAAACCCTGGCTTTTCATGCCACAGAAGCAAGCCACAGTCATGTGCTCGTATGTTGATGCGCTGGCACCTGCAACCAGTCACTGTTGCGACGACGAGTACCGCTACGCTACCACCACGACTGCCAGTACCACCACCACTACCCGCCGACTTGTTGTGTATTTGCCTATGCTGCTGAACACAGTCGGCGGCTGCCGTTCGGCTGAAACAGGAGACAGGGAGAAGCTGCTGGCCGATTTCGAGCGAACTTTGCCGATCCTTTGGGAGAGGCACGATACCGGACCCTTGCCAAGGGAGTCAGTTGCAGTTGCTGAATTCTGCAAAATAGTCAAAGTCGAGACTCTTCAAGACGCTTCATGACTTATCCGTAGCCAGATGTCCCATCGAGCGGGATGTGCTCTTCAGTGCTGTTGTGTTGTATGGCCGGTAGACCCTTGTAGAAGATCGCGGATTACTTTGAAAGTCCAGCAGCAACTAGTGACATGAAGCATCACGGCTCCTGCTGTCGACATTTCGACCTTGGTGTTCTGTTCAACTCGCGACGATGAAGAAGCAGCATTCTCTTGCGTCCTTAGTATTCCTGAGTTCTCTGACCACCCAAACCCGCTTGCTGGGTTTCGAGCATACCCAAAGTTCTCTTCTTAGGACCTCCAAGACCCGGAAGGTTCAACAACCAGGAAGACTACCCGGTTGTCGTTTTCCATGACGGCATGTCAAAAGCAAGCCCGGGCCTGCAGAGAAGAAGGGACCGAACTCAGGTCGTGAGCTAACCAACTCCCGGGTACGAATGAGAGCGTGCAGCCTTGATTTAGCCGTAGGTTTGGTATCCAAGCGGTCCACTGTGCTCAAGGCATCTTAAGGCCTTGTAACTACTGCTGCTGCTCTTCGAGATGGTGACATGTGTTATTGTAGGAGCTGTGGCAACCCCCGGTACATGGATTCCCCCGAAAAAACCAATCATAATCAGAATCAGCCACATAACGCACGGGCCACTAGTGCGAGCAGGCGCCAATCTGTGCTTGTTGTGATGGTGCTGCTGCTCTCGCCGCTGCTGGCGGTTGTGGTGTCAATGCTGGTGGCAGTCTAGAGTCTAGATGCATGGTGTGCTGGTGCCCGATGTAGGGCTGTGGGCATGAGATTGGGGGGCAGCACAGGCAACAAGTTGAAATTCTAAGAGCAGGCCTGAAACTCTTCAAGAGCCTACGTAATCCAGCAGCATCACAATCACAGAAGGACGACCAACAGGAGCGCAGCTAGAGGCAGACAGAAAACCATGCCTGAGAGTGACATTTCTGTTTCGGTTCCCAGCGAAAGACCGTCCACATCAGCAACGTTAAATGCTGAGATGATCAGACGAGGTGGCAGGTGGCAACAAGTTTTCATAGCATCCCCAAAGGGCAGCTCACTAGAGCTCTGTCGTTTCTATTCAGGTGCTTATTGAACCCTTTTTTTCCATCAAGAATGAATAAAGAAGGACCTCGAAACAAGAGATAAACTGTCTGGACCGACGTAGTGAGTGAACCCGCGCTGCAAGCAGCCAAGTCACTTCCATGACTTAATTTGTTGCCGCCAAGGTCGGAAACGAATTCTTGAGGCCACTGCTTCGCAAATTCTAAGGGGTATAGGATATGGGGATGTTATGTGAGGACATTTGCTCCAGAGGGGATCGAGCTCACTATGACATCATGACATCAACACTGGTTCTTCTGGATTGCGCTCTTCAGCGAGCAGGGCATGTCCTGAAGTGCAGGCAGAAATCAGGCAGCTAGATGACCTTACTGCTGTTACGTACATCAGGGTCCCTTTTTAGGTCCCCAACATAGTACGGCACCATTATAAACAGGACCACAAAAGGGACCCTGAATCAGAGAACTACCCATGTACACGTCCTTTCCTCCATCATCCCTCGGCTGGCTGGCTGCTGTGTAAGCACTGTTTTGGAGGTGCGTGATTCCCAGATAATGTTTAGGGAGACCCTTTACAGGGGACCCTTCTTAACCCCACTAATGGCTCTCTTATTAAAAGGGACCTTACTGAGACGGTCTTTATCCCGGATCTAGGTGGAAGGCAAAAAACCCTAAACGCTAAACCGAATCCTGGCTCAAGCTTCAAGCTCAAAGCTCCGAAGCTCGCCCCCCCCCCTCCTCTTCCCTCTCCCTGTACGGCATGGCCGGCGGAGGGCGCACGTCTAAGATGCCGCCGGGCCTTGGTGCTCCAGTGGTGCCAGGTGTGGTCGACTCGTCGGACCCAGACCTGGATGAGGACAGACCCAGCAAATCCGGCAAGCGTCGCGGCCAGACTTCCCCCACAGCCCGCAGAGCAGAGAAACCCATCACTCTGGCAGACCTGCAGCGACTACTTCAGGAGCAGAGTGCGCAGATTCAAACCCATCAAGAACAACAAATCAAGGCGGCGATCAGTGACATTCAGCGCACCACGGGGGCTCAGATCCAGGCCGTGCAGTCGGAGGTGCAGAGACATGGCGACTACATTGACCAACTCCGCGACCAGGGGGAGAAGATCGAGGCACGTCTCCTGGCCCTTGAGGCCGGAGGGGCCGGGTCTCTCCCGGAGCGAGGGCGAGAGGGCGACTCCAGGAAGAACCTCATGATTTTCGGAGGGTGGGGACCCGATACCCACCGTGATGTCCTGCTCGCCGAGCTGAAGGAGATGCTGCAAAAGGTGGACTGCCTCAAGCATTTCGATGACCTGTTTACCACAGGGCCCCGCAGGGGGAACGCTCTCGGATTGGTGACCCAGTACCCAGGGGAAGCGGAAGGAGAGCTTAAGCGGAAGATGATCGGCATAGCGCAGACCATCCGAGCAGCGAACCTCAGAGCGGACAACATGCAGCTCGATAAGAACTTGTGGGCCTCCCTCTCGAAAACCAAACTCGAAAGATTGAGGTCCAGCCACGCGGGCAAGCTCAAGCGGCTCACCCTGGAAGTCAACTCCCAAGAAAAACAGCACATTGATGTCGAGTGGAACGCGGGCTCGGTGTGGCTCCGAGGGACCTTGATCGGGAGCTCAACCAGGACCAAGCCGGCCGGGGTGGTGGTCTGTGAAGGGAAAACGCCCCAATCGTGGCTCGACGTCACCACGACTTCCCGGTTGCTAGGCTGCTCAGAGGCTGACCTGCAGGATCGGTGGGAGAAGCTCCACGACTACTGAGATGACTTGGAGCTTGAGCTGAAATCTGCCTCCAGTCAGGCAGAGTGTGCAAATTTTGAAATTAGTGACAGGCCCTGTGAGGGGCCCCTTGGGTCGACCTGCCCTGTGCACACTGATCCAAGGCCCGAGCCCTGTGAGCATACCCGCACGCAGGTGCAAACCACACCGGGAAGTAGCCTGCCCGAAGGGCACAACTCCCCAGAACATCAGATGATTCGGATCCTTTCCTGGAACATCGGTGGCAAGCCGGTGCAAGATGCGCTGAAAGCTATCGAGGTTACTTCATCCCTTGCAGACTCGATTGCATGTTTCCAAGAGCTGCCCCGCACCCAGGCGGGATGGCAAACAACGATAATTCAGGATCACTTCACATTGGTCCAATTCAGAGATGACCTCCGACAATGGAGAGGCAATGGCGTCATGTACCGCACTGGCGAATTCACCTGCCTGAGGCGGAAAGCCAACCACGTTGGCACCTGGGTCAAACTCAGACACACGAAAACTCAGGCGGAGCTTTGGGTGGGCTCGGCCCGTCTCAGCACCGGGGTTACGGACGATGTCGTCGCGGAGGAGACGCAGGAGCTACTCCAACTTCGGCCTCCTCGTCCTAACGCAGCAGTCCTAATGGCAGACTTCAACACCAAACTCTGCTGGAGTGCAGGAGCAGGCTCACGAGGGCATGTGCGACCCACCACGGGCAGAGCAGACCACCTGGTTACAGAGCTGGAAGGGCGAGGGGACAATGGCACCTTCCCACGAGCCGACCGAGGCGATCCGGAGCGAGAGGCCGACAGATTGATGGTGCTGCGGTCGCGGGGTTTCCCCTTGCCAACATCAACATCGAGGAGAAAACCTTCAGAGAAATCGGAGGAGACCACGATCGCATCAACCTCAGCATCCGTCTTGCGGCTAAGGGACGGGGGGCTCCTGTACCCGCCACGGGCCCGAGGATAGTGTCTGGACAGATCCCGAGTACCCCCAGCCTTGACCAGGAAACCCTAATGAGGCTCGCGAGGGACTACACCATCCCGAAGCCTGGCACCAGATACCACGACCCACCGGAAGTGAAGACCCTATACCGCCAGGCCAAGAAGAGTGGCACGGAAAGAGCATGGAAACTAGCCCACAAAGCTAGACGGACCGCGCATGACCTGTGGCACCGACAAAAGTTGGAACGAGCTTCACAGAGAAACTGGAAGGACTACCGAGAGCTCAAACAAGACCGCCTTGGGTCCACTTGGGCGGTGCACATGTCTGAAGAAGCCTTCAACAAAGGCAAAGAACCGCTACAATGGACAGTGGATCACTTCAGATCCCTGTTCACAGAGCCCGGTGCTCAGGGACTCCCGGAATGGCAGAGGGACACAAAAGCATCGGAACCATTTAGCATGTCTGAGCTTGTCGAGGCGGTCAAGAAGGGCAAGAATGGCAAAGCAGTCGGGGCCGATCTTACCTCCTTTGAGCTGCTCAAAGGCCTCATGCAGGATGGACCCACAGCGGAAGCCCTGCTCGAGTGGATGGAAGACATAAGACAGGGCCGACTCATACCTCGAGAGTGGCTACATACCATAGTGACCCTGCTTCCGAAGGTTGCCAACCCGGCTGGATCGGAGGACCTCCGCCCGATCAGCTTGGGCAGCGCGATCGGAAAGGTCTACGGTACCATGCTACTACGCCGCACTAGGGCGGCCCTCCAGCCCGCAGGCCCTGAGCAATGCTCGCACTCAGGAAGACAGACGGCCGATTACGTGTTCGCAGCTATCCGCTCATTTCAGCTTGAAACCGAGTGGCGCTGGGGACTGCACTGGGTCAAGCTTGACATACGAAAAGCGTTCGACAGCTTGAACAGAGCAAAGGCCCTGGATTACCTTAGAAAGGCGCTCCCTGAGAGCATGCACCTAGAGTACAAAAGTTGGCGACAGCTCCTTACACCAGGGCATGCCACAGTTAGAACGCCGTGGGGCGAAGGGCACATCAACCAGACCAGAGGCATTAGGCAAGGGGCGGTTGAGAGCCCATGGCTCTTTTCAGTTGCCATGGAGCTGTCCCTCCACGAAGCTCAGGCAGAGGAAGGGTGGCCTCGCAGAATTGGTGCGGCGCCTGATCTCCAGCTTGGAGAGCTGCTATTCATGGATGACAGCATCATATGGGCCGGGGACCAGAAAGAGCTGCTTGCCAAGTACCACATCCTCAAAGGTTGTCTGGAGAAGTGGGGGCTCACAGTCAACCCAAAGAAGACGGCATACTACGCCAGCCCGCATGCTACTGAAAGGCAGCCACTCTTGCTTGAAGGGGCCCAAGTTGTGCCAAAGGAAAGCCTGGAAGTGATGGGGATTGCGCTGAGTATCCCGTTACGCCCGGCCAGCCTCATGGACTCGGCCCTAGCCAAAGCCCGGAAGAAGCACTTCGCCAACCGGGGGATGCTGGAGTGCCGAACCCCCCTCAAGGAGAGGTTGAAGATGTTCACCTCTACCGTTGGAGGGGCAGCCCTATGGTATTCCTCGGCGGCCCCGCCGAGTCCCCAAGCACTAGGGGCTGTCAACAGCCTCCAGCTGGAGCTGGTCTCCAGGATGGCAGGGTTCAGAAGGAGGAGTAGCGAAACATGGCTCGAGTTCCACACCAGGAGCCGCAGAGCCGCCAGGCAACTCCTCGTCAGCCACGAACAGCCACGGTGGAGCACGCTGTGGCTACAGAGGTACTGGAACTACAAAGGGCACGTAGCAAGAGGCAATGCCCGTGAACAGCCGCCGGCAAGCAGTGTCATTGATGGTTTCCGCACGTACCAGTGGTGGAAACAGCAGCAGAGATTGGCAGAGGGGCTCCGGCACCCTGCCTCCTTCTACCCCTACCTCTCCAACGACGAGCTCAGGCTTAACAGAGCAGCACGATGCGAGGACTGGCGCCAACTTGCAATGGACCCAGTTGCATGGCGCCAGGCTGAAGCAGAATGGCTGCGAAGAGAGGACGTCTCTTGGACCAGAGGACGACAGCTCGCCCTCACCGGGGGAGCGCCACTCACACCCAGCACTCACCCATCACTGGCGATCAGGGAGAGCGGGGACGAATGAACCCACATGGGTGACGACACCCCNNCCCCCCCCCCCCCCCCCCGATCCCAACCACCCCACAGAGCTCACGAGTCTACATGTACTTTCGCGGTGTATCTCACTTCATGTGCCCTACTGATGCCACTGTGTTGCACTGCACAGCTTGTTGCTTCTTGCATTTCGATATCGCGCCCTGCAGCCCATTTTGCTTGTAACCACTGGGGATATGAAAAGGCAGAGTGCCTTAGCAGCCATGCTGCCCCTGGCAGCTTTCCTCCTCATCGCTGAAGTCGGCTCTCTTTGGAGCCAAGGAGGACCCAAATTCGATGATGCAAGCACGACGTGTGCCGCATCGGAGCCGCACTTCGAGATGATGAGCGAGCTCATTGACGAGAACACCCACGGCAAAGAAACCAGTCAGCACAGAAGAGCGTCACAACAAGACCGAATCGCCCTGCTGCCTGGACTACCTCAAGGCCCGGAACATCCTCATGAAACCGACCCTCCGCACCAGGAAGCAGAAGACCTGGAAAGAAAGCATGGCGGGATGAATGACTGTGTCCAGGATGATCGGGCGAGGATGCCCGACACCATGATGGGAAAGCAGTGGGGGGAAACTTTCCCCAGTCTACAACCCGAACTACCTCGAGCCCCAGGACCCCACCGGCAAGCTGACCCACCGCACCGCGAACAATACGGCCGACCCGAACATGAACGCGAACCCTGCCCACCTGCGTCACATAGAGCCCCTGGACCCCAGCACGAATCTAGGGCAATGGTGCAAAGCACGAAGCAGAGTGAACTGAGGAGGAGCAAGCCGCCCGGTCTACAACATCTCCTACCCCGAGGCCCTGAAGGTCCCGAACTTGATGATCCGCAACACCGTGAACAAATCGACCGACCCGTGCAAGAACCTGCGCCTCACCCACAGCATGCACTACCTGGAGCCTTAAGACTTCCACAAGAGACCGACCCAGGACGCACAGCGCAGAGAAACCGGGGGCCGCTGCTGAAGCAGGCCCTTGCGCAGCCCGGACGCGCTACTGCCCGGCATGCCAGGCGCCCGCCCGCGCAGGGGAGATGCGGAAAGGCAGAGGGACAACTGGAAGATGCTGTATCCCTCCTCTCCGTGGGGACAGTGGCCCCCCTCACGCTTGCGCTCAGGAGCTCGCAAGGATTTGATGAGGTCCCCGTGGACCAGGCAGCAGCATGGTACTGGGAGCTGGTGGACCAAGGCCAGGCACTCATCCGAATGGGAGTTGATGCAAGCGAGCTTGGTAGGGAGATAGTGCACGTGGTTATGGACATACCGGACATGCGCTTTGCGTTGGTGATGGAGACATACATGAATGGAGTCGTCCGAGCCCTACACCAACAAGCAGAGCACTCTGTTGCCAGTACGCCCGGGAACAGCCCTGACCGCCTGAGGGCCGACTTCGCGACCCGGGTCATGAATGTGCTGTACGAACAATGGAGCACCTCGGCACCACGCAGCGGTGGCGAGGAAGGGGGCCGAGCGACCTGCCCCAGGCCCAAAACAGCCCGCCGATGGTGGAAGAAAAACAGACTCAGAAGCCGCACCCCTGGCCCGGGCCGGAGCAGGGCCCGACGGAGAACGGAGGAAGAGGCAGATGAGTCAGCCTTGGTAGCAAAGAAGTGGGTCCTCAAGCCTAAGAGGGTCCGACAGGAATACGAGACCAGCAAGCAAATCTGGAAATCGGCCAGGCCGGAACACAGCGGAAGTTCGAAAACTACAACCCCGAGCGGCACCTCGAGCTCTACTCTCGAGGAGGTGCACCTCAGCGCCATGGGCAATGGAAGAGGTGGAGGTAGAGGCGGACGACACCAGGACCGAACCAGGCGGCACAGCAAAGGAAGCTGAGGGCATGGCAGACGAAATGGTGGAGACCGAGACGGAATCGGCACATCGCCTCTGGCTTATCCTCCTCGGCCTCGTGCCGGACGGGGATACCCTCAACCTCCCCGAGAGCTTGCCCATGACTCTGCCACATGACATAGTAGAAAACGTGAGGGCGACTTTGGAGGATCAATCGGCCACGGATCTCGAAGAGCTCCGCGAAGCACTGCCAGAGGTCCTGCAGAGGGTCCAGGAAGAGCTCCTTGGCTTGATCGCCGAAGCAGGCGGCAGCTCGTCGTCAGCGACTGGTCCAGCAGCGGGAGCCGAAACGGCGGAAGAAAGGGACAACCCCGGCGAGGGGATGGCGGACCATACCCACCTAATGCAGAGAACGCTGACGGGCACCATGAGGCAGACAGCGGCAAAGCAGAGCCAGGAGACCTACCTCCAACTCCATCAGGAGATGCAAGCGATGCCACCCCAGCAGGCTTCTGCGGTGGCCCGACGACTCCAGCAGGCCTTACTACACCACTGGCCCAGAGTACAGGACTGGACGATGGTGGAGGCTGTCTTGGCTGCCAACATGGGCCCTCCGCCTGCGGAGCCGGCAGAGGGCGATGGGACGGCTGAGGAGGCCTGGGTCGAAGGTTGGAGGAAGAAGCTACTGGGGCGTACCGCTAAGCCCCACAACAGCGGAGCAGCCTCGTCGTGGGAACCGCCGCCGCCGCCTCAGGAGGTCAACTCATCGGGGGCCGACCGCATCGCTGAGCATGAGGCGGAATTGGCACAACAGAATGAGCAGGACATTCAGCTCTATGAATGGCACCTCCAGCAGTCCGCCGCCGAGGCCAAGAAGCGAGACGAGGCGGCGCTGCAGGCCCATCTGGGCTGGTCCGGAGGGAAGACCAGGAAGAAGCTGAGGCTGCAGATAGAAGTGACGACAAACCACAACGTCCACTACCAGGAGGTGGAGGTGGGCGAGGGAGAGAGCATCAACCTCAAGATGACCCTCACAGACAGTGCTCCTCGCTGGTACCGAGGCACGACGCCAACCCACCAGGATGAAGCTAAGGCCGCCATCCGCGAGGCAGAGGAGGAGCATCTGCGAGGGGATGGCCCGCCCGTCCAGCAGCCGCAACACAGCCTCGCAGACGAAGAGACAAGGGCGCTACTGAACCAGTGGCGCACGGGCACGATAAGTGCGGCAGAGGTGGAGAGAAACTATGGGAGCACTATGGTTCCCTTCCTGGAAAAGTGCCGTGAAGAGCAGGAGCCGGACATCAAGCCAGAGCAGCCGGGCACCGCAGTTGGTCACTCGCTCCGCACTCGACTACTTGGGGCCGGTTGGAAGCGCTGGCTGCAGACCCCTGAGATAGCCCGTGACTACCTGCAGTGGAGGGCGGGCCACCTCGCCGATGACATCGTCCTCCTCCGGTATGGGGAACCAACCGTGCAGTCCTTTTGGCACTTACTCCGGGCAGGCCGTGCCCGACTCCCGACGGTGGCAGAGTGTGGGAGCGAGGCAGAAGAGGACCTGCCGGCAGGACCGGCCCCAGCGGAGACGGTGGTTGATGCTGATACGGTGCCCTACCCCACAAATGACATGCCGGGGGAGTACCACATCAACAATGCGGGCCATGGTGGAAGTGACGCAAGGCCGGGCCATGAGGAGACAGTGCCGATGTTGGGGGCTACTGATAGCCCGGGTCAGGAGCTGGAGGGGCAGTACCAGGAGTGGATACAGGGCCACCTCAGCGACCAGGACATCCTCGACAAATATGGCAGTGCAGTGTGGCACCGCTTCCTCTCCCGGAAGGCCTTGCAAGTGGCACAGAGGAATCAGGAACAGGCCGAGCACGCTGAGTGGCTCAATCGTGAGTTCTCTAGCGACACGGATTGAATGCCGAGTGCTGTTTTCTAGCTGCTAAGGGCAAGGCCGCACAGCTCCCCGGCCTCAGGTGTTTGTCACTGCTAGCCTAGGCTATACTCCGTTCTGACTGGGACACTGAGGCGGAGCTGAGGAGCTGTGTACCCGCATGTGTATCAAGGTGTATCACAGTTTTGGAGGTCTGCGGAGGGGGGCCGATGCCTGTGAGCCACTGTTGTGTTTATGTAGCCCTAGTGTTGTCGCCTCTCTGACCCGATGCCCCCACTGCAGCCCGATGCTGGCGCCTGAGCTTCTGTGAATATGGACTCAGCTGCAGGTGTCACTGTGATTCTGCTGGTTCGTCTGGGAAGGGCAGGGAAGTTTGCCGGTTTATTTGTTGCAATGGGGTAGTGGTATAGACTCCATTCTGCCCAACCCCAACCAGCTGCCTCAGCCTGTAAGGCGTTCCGACTAAGCTAACAGTGCAGGAGGAAAAGAGGTGTCAAAAAAAAAACCGAATCCTGGGCTAGTCCTAGCAAGGTGGGAGGCAAAAAACGAATCCTCCGATAAAATAAGAACGATACAGAGAACATTAGTATGGCCCCTGCGCAAGGATGACACTCACAAATCGAGAAGTGTACCAAGTGTCAAAACCCTACACCCCTACTGTTCTGAACTAACCCTGCAATGCGGGCTCGTCCTTGCTATGTAGGAGGGAAAAAACTCCTTGATGTATATCGGTGGTACTCACTGTGTCTGAATCTCGTGTGGCTCTGACATCTTTCCCACCAAGTGATGTTGGCTGGCTGCTTGCAACAGGTAGCTGGTAGCTCTTGTTTCCCAGCGCTGCGAGGGATGCTGTGGATGCTGATTATCTTCTTGCTCGGAGGTGACAGTACGACATGTACTTCAGTTTTCTGTGGTGGACTTCAATTGGTCGGGATGACTGTTTTTTTACCAGTTCACTTTTGCACGTGGTGAATCGGCCTTCTCTAGCCAATGTGCTGTCGTCGGACCAGGAACCTCGCCAGGCATGTCCCAGTTGTGAGTGCTGAAACCCTAACAACTACACGAACCTAGAGACTCCAATATCCCTTAATTAAGCAATATACTGTACCTTAAATCATATTAGGGATCCTACTATAATTCAAGGAATATTCCTTAATTGCCTTAATAAAGGGATATTGGAGTCTCTGGGAAGCTTGGCCAGGCATCGTCGAACCGAATATGGCACCCTCCTGAGCCGCCGGTTCTCAAACAAATTCGCCAATTCCGGGACCCGAAGTGAGATCAGAAGTACCTCTGCGTTTCAGCATTTACGAATCAGCAACAATGCATAGGGTCATGGGCGAGATTATTCAAATGGCTATATATACCTAAACTTATCTATGTGTATATACCCATTTTTGACATAAAAATGATAAGGGGAGATTATTGTACTATCTGGGACTTGTTCCGACCCCAATACTACAACTGCCGAAAGTAAGGGAGATTGGAATTCCAAAGCTGACGTGTATCCTGTGACTCATGCCAAGACTACAGCGGCATTAGGTATGATAACTTTGAACGGTTTCAGCATGTCCATGAAATCTCACTGTATCGACCATCTACTTTACATCTTCCTTCAAAGGGCGTTAGACGACAGCAGCATTAAACCACATGGATATACCGCAGTTCCACGACTTCATCAGCATTCCGCCGTATTTGTTTCTTCTTTGCATCAGTTCAGTCGACGGGTCGCGGCCTCATATGCAGCGCAATGTGCAGCAACAGAAGGATTCCATTCCTGATTTGGGAACATTTGTTATGCTTGGGATGGTAAACCGCCCAAAGATGTTCTGGGCCAGTTGCTTGCTGCATACAGTTGCCGCGTAACAGGGGGCCGGATTGCTTTGGTCTAAGGTAAGGATCTTTCACCAGGAGAGGAAAAGCATAGAGGCATAGTGTGGTAGACCGGAGAGATAGAAAGCGCTGGGAAAACATTCTTAAACCCTCGAGTTATCCCACCTTTACATTGAAAAGCAAGCCTCCTTAGACGTGCAGATTCTTTGCAGTTGGTCCTGTGTAGTTTCTAGTCGGTCAGGATTTTCTTTGGCGCTCGATAAGTAGAACGTTGAATTGAAGCTGATGAAGAGCAAGACCAGTCCGAATCCTCTCAATGTCCCCTATCCTCTCCGGACCCACACGATGACCTGCAGTTGTCCGTAGCATCATCTCAGGTTTGCCTATGTCGATGACTACAAGTCCGTCCCAGCCGTTTTGAAGGCACACTTGTTAGACCACGCTGTTTTTGATATTCGGCCATTGGAACAGATGAAGCTGCATCTTCTGTCAGGTCCCTTGGTCAGGGTTCCCGGGTTCTCACAAGGGGTACTGTACGGGTTCTTCTGAGGAGCCCAGTACAATTATACTGGATTGTTCTGGAGTGCTATGAGGGGTGTTTGAGAAGTACAACAGGGTTTTCTGCATCGGGCGCTACGAGCGCTTGGATCCATAAAGTCAACAGACTGTATCGGCATCGATATCAACTGCACCAAAGTGGTGGACGGTAGATCTTTGAAAGAGGCTGCCCTGATCAAGGCTGGCTTAACAAATGTTGGACGGGACAGCGTAACTCAAACAGCCCCCTCAAGACACGGGCAGGACAGCATCTGCAGTCGACGAACCCAACCACAACGTTTTTGAGCACAATCCGGATCGCCAACCAGAAGAACTGGATCAATGTTAGGGATCCATTTTGCGTTTCTTGGTTTGAGCTTCCTAGTACTCAGAGAGCCCATCCCCAAGGCTCCACTTCCAAGTAGAAAGAGGAGAAGTGTTCCGACCCAGGGCCGGATCGAGCTTGACCTTGGTGGCTACGGGCTGGGATACCGTGGCATGTGCCGGTTCAGGAGCCTTGCCTCAATCGGGGTTTAGGGCCTTTTGGGGTCATAGGGTTTGTAGGGGTTGGGTTTAGGGCCTTAAGGGTGCAGGACCGGGAAGGGCAGGAGGTCTAGACAGCAGGCTTTGGTTTGGTTGTCCTCGGACTCTACGCTCCTAAGCTCTGCATGCTCCGTGTCCCAAGTGCGGCCGTCGTTTTCCGCGACTTTGGAGCTCCAGCTGTCGTTGAAAACTTCTTCGGCCTTTGGCTACTACTTGACCGTTTAAGGTTCAGGGGTTTCCTTTCGGACCTGTTTGGCAGACAACTTGCCATGCACGGTCGTGGACGCACCGCATCAGTTGCAATTTGTTTGCATCGCTGTGGGAATTGAAAGAGGGTTGGCCTGCCATGCACAGTTGTTACACAGGTTTTGTAATCCAACGTGCGTGCATCAGAAGACTCTCCGGAGCATGCGAACCGCGGATGGGTACGTCATATCTGCCGTTATCCGATATCCCTCCTTTCTCATGAACGGGACTGGCAGACAGTCTGAAACCCCTCCGTTCCAATGTCACACGGTCGCCGCCGCAGGTCGGGACCAATTTTTATGCAGCCTGTCATGAAAGGCTTTGACTATGCCGTCGGCCTCAGACACAAGTACTGTTCCTGAACTTGGATGTTGGCATCTCTCTCCATGGCAGTATGGAAGAATCAGACAAAGGTCGTGAACAGCACTGGCATGCAGTCTGACATCTGTCGTTCATGGCGCCAAAGCAGTACGACCGAGCCCCTGAAACCCTCAAGCCATTTCGGCTCTCACCGGTTCTTCGCACTACAGATACCAGCTTAGGACCACAGTTTCTGCGCAGACGCCATGGGAAACGCTTGCTCTGATGGTTGCTTCGGCATGTTGGGCAGCAAAAAGGTTTCGCAGCTCAAGGCCTGCAAGCAGGACCTCAAGAAGTTCATTGACAGCAAGAACTGTCATCCCATCATGGTGCGCTTGGCCTGGCATGACTCCGGAACCTATGACCAGCGCATCAAGGACTTCCCAGAGCGAGGTGGCGCCAATGGTGCGATCAGGTTTGAGGGGGAGATGAACTTTGGGGCCAACGCCGGCTTGGACAAGGCAAAAGGCTTCCTCGATGAGTTTGCGAAGAAGTACCCCGAGATTTCCTGGGCTGACCTGATCCAGATGGCGTCTGCCGTTGCCATCGAGTGTGCCGGTGGCCCGGCCATTGACATGAAGTACGGCCGAGTGGCAGTGTGTTGCAACAACGAGTGCGTCAAATCAGATTCCAGGGAGGGCTTCGGAGGCAATGCAGGGCTTCCCGACGCCAAGCCTCCCTTTGGCTGCGGGGCGCCGACGGCTGCACAGCATCTTCGCAATGTATTCACGAAGAAGATGGGCTTCACAGATCAGGAAATCGTGGCACTGTCTGGCGCCCACACCATCGGCCGCGCTTTCAAGGAACGCAGCGGCGCCTGCCCTTTCGGCTATGGTGAGCAGTCCGCATCGAAGTACACCAAGTCCGATTGCATTGCACGGAAGGATGGCAGCAAAGGCGTTGGAATGGTTGGCGGTGCTGCTTGGACGAAGAACTGGCTGACATTCGACAACAGCTACTTCAAGGACTACAAGCTTTCCGACCAGAACCTGCTTTGGTTCCCAACGGACGAGGCTCTTCACACCGATCCCGAGTTCAAGAAGTACTTCGAGCTCTATGCTAAGGACCAGGATGCCTTCTTCAAGGACTATGCCAAGGCCCACAAGAAGCTGAGTGAACTGGGCGCCAAGTTTGAGCCTGCGCAAGGCATTACGATCTAAAGGCGCGGAGTTCCCGAGGGGTGAAGAAGTTACGCACTCAGCGAAGCTGGGTTGGAAGAGCCTGATGTGCGTGGCTTTTGTGCCTCAAACCTACTTGACCAATACGCACACCTCGATCATCGTGTTTGTAGCAGTGCTCTCATTTGTGTTTTGTTGCAGCCAGCATGTCGGCAAAGGCCTTCCGGAAAAGACTGGACTAATTACTAGAGTCCACCCAGATGGGCGCTGGCCCCGCGCATGTCGCTTATCGCTTCCCTCATTCAATTTTCACATCGCAGCATGCTGACAGCTGTCTTCAAGGCATCAGCTTCGTCCTAAATGGTTTGGAGCAGACTTCCTGTTGCTGTGAAACTGTGAAGATAATGGTGTTTTCGCTTGTGCTTTGGAGAAGGGCAGGCTGCAGATTTTGACAGACCGAACAAAAACTCGAAACCATGCGCTATGCCAGCTCGTCATGGATAAATGTTGCAGGCGCGAGACAACCGGCGGCTGTAAGTCCAGGGTCTCAGGCGATGAGCCGGTCTCTGTGTTGTCACAAGGCTTGGACTCTCGATACCGACGGCTACTTCCCAACGGACATCCTCTCCGATCCCTTGGAGCGGTCCGGTCTCCTAGTTGAGATTTGATACTCATCATGACATGACTGTCGCTCCTGCATTGTTGGTTGCTACTAGTTGTGGAAGTGGCAGCAGGAGCAGCCGCAGTAGCAGCAGAGGCAGTGGTGAACAATAGCAGGACTATTACTAGTACTACTACTACTAGTACTACTACTACTACTACTACTACTACTACTACGACTACGACGACGACGACGACGACTACCGCTACCGCTACCGCTACCGCTACTGCTACTACGACGACGACGACGACGGCCACGACTACGACTATGACTACTTCATCTGCTACTGCTACTGCTACTGCTACTGCTACTGCTACTGCTACTGCTACTGCTACTGCTACTGCTACTGCTACTGCTACTGCTGCTGCTACTGGTGCTGCTACTGCTGCTGCTGCTGCTACTACTACTACTGCTACTCCGTCTGCTGCCTCTACTGCGCCTGCTGCTCCTCTTGCTACTGCTATTACTACCCCACCTCCTACGAGCAGTATTGAACGTCGTTACTGCTATTGCCACTGTACTGCTACTACCACGGCTACTCCGTCTGCTGGCGCTACTTCGCCTGCTTTTCCTCCTACTACTGCTATTACTACCCCGCCTCCTACGAGCAGTGTTAAACTTCGTTATGTGATACCAGTGGTACTGGTGGTGATAGCCATGGTAGTAGTGGTCGTGGTGGTACTCTTCGACGTGGGATGTTGCCTGACACCTTTCCAGGAGGCCTCCGGGCATTGGTGAGAGTCCCTGCCCGCCGCAGACGCTTCCTTTCAATGTGCGACTTGCAAGAGTCGTCCCAAAAGCCTTGAACTTGATGAATCTCCAAGCCTTCGATCCCTTGGAGGATGTGGCGCGAAGACCGCGCCGGCCTGGCTCGTGCTTGTGCTCAGGGGGCCTGTGATCCAAATCGGCAAGGGTAGTCATTATTGGTAGTCTCAGCTTTATCAAAGGTTGGTAACGTGAGCCAGAAATCAGCCGCTATAGTGGGTTCATGACAGCATCAAGGACATGGCCCAGCGCAGCCATGTTATTGATCTCGATCAGCAACCTAGGCCACAGAACCAATCATGTTGCCACTGAGAACGGCTGAGCAAGCACAGCAGAAAATGCAACTTGCGGAAAAAAGTGCAAGGAACTGTGGCAAAGGAGACAGCCAGCAAAAGCCTCGAACAGCACCATGGCGTGGAAGATGAGACGAAAGGTCTTGTTTCTGCTGGTGAGCGTAGGGCTCGCAGCATCAAGGTGAATATCAAATCCTGCTTCACAACCCTCGACGAGCTTTTTCAATTTGCAAACAAGCACAAGCACCACTTCGTCAGCCTGGTTGAACCGGTCGCGAAAGAGACCGGGGCCGCCTTCTTCGATCCAGATTTGAAAGGCCAAGTTCGCTGTCAATCCAAAACCAAGTTCGAGTCCATGTACTTGAACTTGGCTTTGGATAGCCAGCGAGCCTGGACCGACATCGTGCGTGACACGCTGAGCTACGCGAACTTGACGGATATGTACAAAAGGACTCCAGCTCATCGAAAAGGACGCAAGCGCTTCACTCCTGGAGTTCAACGACCGGTATCAACCCTGGTACCTGTCGTTGAATTCCAGGATTGAAGCGATTATCAAGCTCCATTGGATGGTGGATATCGTGACTTGCAGCTCACAGTTCGGGTGCCAGGTGGTTTGTTCTGCGAGCTTCAATTGACCACAAAATATATGCTCTTCACGAAGGAGTCCAGCGGGGGCCTTCGAGATCAAGAGGCAACACGTTTCCGACGTAAGTGCCGACGACAAGCTCGGATGTCCAAACACATTGGAGTGGGCGAAGGAAGATGTCGAGTCAGTGCTTCGTGTGCTGAATGAGAACGTCGACCCGTTGCTCCACAAGGCGGCTGCACAGGGCAACTCCGACATGCTGCAGCTCTTCATAGAAAATCGTGCGAATGTGAACCTCCAGGAAAAGACTACTGAGCGCACAGCCCTGCACGAGGCGATGGACCAGGGCTTGTGCATCATGGGCCCTGATCTCAGCGGAAGCTCGACAAGACTTATCGTATGCAAACGGGCAGACGGCCCTTTGCTCAGACTCTTGCGGCAGCGCGTGCGTCCAGAAAGCGAAAACGTGGCAGGGTGCGTCTGCATGTTGTCGCCGACAACATGGAGACGCACCCTGCCGGCTGGATGAACCCGAACAGCAAGACAGAGCACGACAAGATCGCTTTGCACATGGCATTGGCTCAAGGACACACTTCCGTGGTAAGGCAGCTGCTGATCTTCAAGGCAGACATTTGGCTGAAGCAGGAGGTGAGCGCAAAGAATGCCCTAGACATCGCCATCGAACTGGCAAATGCAACAAAACCCCGACTGTCTCAGGCTCCTGATCCACCTCCACGAGCAATACAAGGACTAAGACTAAGACTACGAAAGTGCTGCGGAAAGACATGTCTCATGTCGGTGATGAGCATGGCAATGCAAGCCATGTCGAGTCGCTCGTCCACAATATGGCCATAAAACATGAGATCGCCAACGGCGTTCTTGCTGTCGTTCGTTTCTTGGAGCAGCACGGGAAACAAGTCCCAAGGCAGACCATGCAGCGAAGTTTCCTCCGCCGAAGTTTTCTCTCCGTGAGAGGTTCGGCCTCGGTGGAAATCTCTTCAAAAAGGATCATCTTTGGACTTTCAGGAATTCAGTCGTGAACTGGAATGCATGTACGGCCTACATGAGGATCATAGACGTCTCTGTAATCCTGGTGAACGTGTCGCCCGCAGCAGAAAGGTAAATTCCCAGCCTTTCTTTCCAACACTGTTGGAAAGAAGGGCTGGAAATTTGTCTTTGATGAGCTCTTGGAATTTGCGCACAGGCACAGGGGATGGACATGATGGACCACGGCCATGCTGGCCATGCTTGTGCAGCATGGGCTCGTCTAGCCGGTTTAAAGACATCAGTGTGCACGTGAGACCTATGCCGAGCAGAGCCTTATCGGAGTGACGGGAAAAACCTAAACCCTAAACCCGCGAGCATGCGAGCCGAAGCCCTAAATTCGGGAATGGCGCCCTTGCAAGGTGGGAGGGGGGAAAAACCCCGAGAATGGCAGGTCTACGGCTACTCGCATGTGTCTCGGGACCAGGCGTCAGCTGCCTGACCCTTATCATCCTGAGGTGTCGTATTCAGGTGGTTGGTTTAGGGTTTAGGATTCAAGGTCCGCGGTTTGTGGTTGAGGGTTCAGGGTCCATACACTCTTGCTATTTCATTCTATTTCGAGTACTACTAAGACTAAGATCACGTTTTCTCATATGACACAAAAGCCTAGGTTCAACAAAGGGTCCTCGAACCATCCACGGGACGACATGCAAAAACTGAGGTCGACAGAGCCTGAGGGCCTGAGCGAAGAGTGCAACCGGTGGTTCACTCTTCCCTTTCAAGCGGACTGCTGAATCTGTTGACTCCGAACGCCCAGGTCCAGCACTTCTGGGAGTTTTGCCGGTTGTACTTCGAGCTGCTTCTGCATGTGTTTATCTGGTTTGCGGAATTCGCTCCGGTTGTTTGGTGTTTCACAGTTACTGCAGTCAGCTTCCCTCTCCGTGGCACGCAGGGTCTGTAAATGCCGGTCGGCACATGTTCGAAAAGTGGCAGGTCCAAGGGGATTGACCCGAAGAGTACCAAGATGATGCGAAGACTCACGGCATGGGACTTGGGCGGCCCACCTCGTGATTTCGGCTTGCTTGGCATTTATGTGGGGTTTGACTTGAGTTCGTCAGATAGTTCCGACACGGGGACCGCTGTTCAGTTAAGATTTTGGAAAAGAAACAATCCAGAGAGATGGGCTTGATTTGGTACCCCAGCTATTGCTTTGAGTCCCCACCCACAGGGAGACAGCCACATCTTCTCGACGTCTTCCTTCAAGCGGCTGCTTGGGGTTTTCGTGTTGTTTACTAGCTTGTGGTGAGGGAAAACTCAGAGGAAGCAGCCGCTGGTCATCATTTGAGAGCAGATGTTCCGGTGACTTCAGCATTTCTCCCCTCCAGCAGTCTTGGTCTTGTTGAACACGTCCTGATCGGCTGCCAAGGAGCAGCCTTAGCCGTAGCTGCTGGTGCGTCGGATTGCGGGTCAGTCTAAGAGAGGCGGCAAGCGGTTTAGGTAGTACAGTATGGTTTATTGTAGCGCATTATAGTATATTGTAGTATATTATAGTATATTGTAGCTGTTTTATATTATAGCCTATTGTAGTACATTGTAGTAGTATATTAGGGTTTAGGGTTTAGGCCCTGCAGCCCGACTTGACAGCGGTACTCGACTGCGACAGCGACCGACGGCCAAAAGGTTTGCCAAGCCTCATCTTCGTTCCGCCAGAGGAACTGGCAGAATTAGGCGGAGAAAGGGACTGGTGCACCTGCAAATGCCGATGAAAACCCCCCATGCCATGAACCCTGTACATCCATAAATTTCGTCGATTTGGGCTTGGGCCAGCCTGGGACGCATGAGATTAGGAACCCGAATACTCAAAACGCGTGCCCAGAAATTGAAGTTCTTGTAAGGATGCTCTGGTGCTACGGGACACATATTGGCACGAGTGGAATCGTGTCCTCTTCATGTGCTGGGCTCAGGAGTTCGGTCATCTTAGAGCTCGTTTGGGCCTTTGGTGTGCTCTGACCCTGAACCTTAAACTAAGCTCGGGTTGTCAGTGAAGTGCAGTTGTCGTGGCGCCTGCCACATGCAAGGGTGCAGGTCGAAATCAAACTTTAAAGTGCTAAGGAATGACATTGAAATCACCAAGTTGTCCTGGTTCCAGAGCCGGCAGTACCAGGACCTTCTGAGCGGCGGGGCTGTTGACTCGACATTGCCATCAGGTTTGCAAGCATTTACTCGTACAGGTGCAAGTGAATCCTACCCTGGCTGCGGCCATCGGGGACGACTGCTGCTGCTGCTGCTGTTGCTGCTGCTACTGCTAACCGCTAACCCCTACTCCGACTCCGACTGCGCCTCCTCCTCTTCCTTCTCCTACTCCCACTTCTACTCATACTCCTGCTACTACTCCTATCCCACTGCTGCTGCTGCTACTGCTAGCTGCCGCTACTGCTACGGCTACCGCCACTGCTACTGCTACTGCTATAGCTTATAGCACTACCTATGCAGATCTCAACAGCCCTAAGTGCGTCGGATGCCTCGGCGGGTTTCCTAAGTCACATGAAAGCAAGGACTTCTTCGAATTCCTGGACTCCGTGGGAGGGTTCCCTGGCAACAGCGAGGCGGAACAATTCTGAAATCCTGTTTCGACGGGCTCTGAATGAGAGCTCTTTCGAAACCTGGCTTGGCCCTCGACTGTCCCCGTCCGCGAACAAGAACGCATACAGAACCGCAGGTTTTTCAGAAGATTCAAACTCCGGCAAGTCTTCAGTGGATCATTCTTTGGCCAAGTAATGCACCTGCACAGAGCTGGGTGATCGCGAAAGGCCGTGATGCAAGGATCTGGCTAGCCCCCAAGCCCAGTTGCAAGAAAAGGGTTATAAGTTCGGGACCAAAACAACACAGCGCACGCAGATAAAGCATAAAGACCTTGCGGAATTACATTCAAAAGTTGAGATTTATTCGCTCTTTTGGGCTCCTCCTTAGGGGTTTGGGATGATCTCCATGTGACACGTGGCTTTCCTAAGCCGATTTGAAGCCAAGGTTCTGGCTCTACCGCTGGGGGGATCATGCCGCGCCGCCCCTACCCAGAGACATGCCTTGGTCCCACGCTTTGGGTTGTAATCGCAGGCAGTTCGTCATTTGGGAAGGCCTGTCTGAATTTCATGCGATTGCTCGTGGTCGCTGGCAGTTCTTGAAGGTTTGATTTTCAATTTTTGTGACTCTTCGTCCGCCAAAGCTGAGCGACGAGTGTGCAGACTTTGTTGGTATTCGTGGTACTTTCGAATCGGCACCCGATACTACCGGAGTTCAAGCATGGGTGCGGCTGCCCACATCTCCAGTCCAAAGCCTCCATGCTGCAACCACAGGCCCTGAGGAGTAGGGCTGGAGACAAGAACATTCAACCAAAAACTGGCAGAACCTCGACGAAACACCCATGCTCTGAAGCTCCGAATCCGTTTTGAGGTGCGGACCATTGCCGTGGCCCTTTTCTTGAACCCCGATCACCTCATGAGGAGCCCCGAAGCTCTGTCAGGATTCCCCTTTAAGGCCTTTAAGGGTTGCTTGAATTGTTTGGTGTTTGCCATCCGTTTCTCGCAAGTTCTTGATTTGCCTTCGGGGCTGCGGTTGTTCTCAGTTCAGGTTCACTGGCTTAGCTGCAGCTTCGTACGAAATGGACTAGTATAGCCAGCACACTTTCGAGCACCCCATATGACCCATGCCTTGGGAATGGTGGCAATTTCGGACACGACTTGCTAAGTTCGCCACCCCGACGGGGCGTCAAGATCCGCTTCACGAGCCATGACTTTTCGAGGATGCGTGTACCGTATGGTCATCAGAACACCTGCCGATGTCAGCCGCCAAGACTTTGGCAAAAATCCAGCATGATGTTGCTACGTCCTGTTCATGTGCAGCATGTTGGCGTGCTTTGTGTGTGTGTGTGTGTCCAACCTTATCACTAGAAATGATATTGACAGTTTACACAGAAATTGCTCGTTCCGACCCGCAGCCGGGTCCGATGAGGTCGCCCTGGGGACAACTACTGA